GGTCCCCGGGGCTGCCTGCTGCTCGAAGCCGGGCTGTGAGCGGCTCCACACGGGGCTGAGCCGGCAACTTGGCGGCCAAAGGCCTCTGACTGTTGCACGTGCCCAGTCTTGCATCTGCCTTTCATTTCTTTCATGCACTATCCTTGGATTGCAACTTGCCAATGCATCTGTATGTACATAGCTGTACACAACAGAGAGAATCTCTACAAATATATATATACACACAGGAGGCGCTGTTATCGGTCATGACTATAGTTTTGGGTTTGCGCCTTCCGATGGGTTTCCTTTGCCAAACACTGCTGAGTGCAGGATGTTTTTATTGCTCTTTGTATGGTCAAACAAACAAAAGAACAACAAAACGCCAACTTTGCCCACGATGCTTTTGTGCTGCTGCCTGCCGGAGGGGCAGGAGGAGGGTCCCTGTCTCTGCTCTGCCTGTGCGTCTGTCCAGGGGCAGAGACTTCGAGGGCGCTCCATGCGCTCTGCAGGGGCTGCAGCTCTGCTAGAGGGAGCTGTGCCCTGCCAAGTTCCCCCCCTCTGCTCCGCAGAGAGCCGGGGATGGCGGCTGCTCGTGGCACGGGCAGGTAAGGCTCAGCAGGCTCCGGCAGAGCCCGGGGCACGCGCCGGGTGATGGACACCCATACCCGGGCGGCTGTCCGACTTAGCAATCCAGCAACGCCGCGCAGACACGCCAGAGCGACACGGCGCAACTGGGGCACAGTTAATAGGCACATCCATCAATGTACCCACCATGGAGACAGAGGGGTGAGGGGAGCTCCGGCAGCCGCCCTTCAACCGGGGCTGCTGAATGCCTGCGCATCCCGAGTCCACCCACAAGCGAGGTCGGGCCGGCACACCGTTTCTGCGCACCTACAGACACTACCTCTTTCCTGGGCTAACGCCGCCCCCCTGCCCTGCCATACCCACTCCCCCCAACCAGCTTCCCAGGGAGTCAGCCCGACCGAGGGGAGAGCGCAGCCCCAGGCAAAGGGCACGGGGGACCCACGAGTTGCCGGTCTGGGGGTGCCGCTGGGAGAGTCACTCCAGACCAGTAGTGTTCCCTTCTTTACATACCATTTTTCTAGCATACATTGTCCTGTGTAACTATTTATGTAAATCTGTGCACAACAAAGAGACAATCTCTACAAATATATATATACACACAGGAGGCGCTGTTATCGGTCATGACTATAGTTTTGGGTTTGCGCCTTCCGATGGGTTTCCTTTGCCAAACACTGCTGAGTGCAGGATGTTTTTATTGCTCTTTGTATGGTCAAACAAACAAAAGAACAACAAAACGCCAACTTTGCCCACGATGCTTTTGTGCTGCTGCCTGCCGGAGGGGCAGGAGGAGGGTCCCTGTCTCTGCTCTGCCTGTGCGTCTGTCCAGGGGCAGAGACTTCGAGGGCGCTCCATGCGCTCTGCAGGGGCTGCAGCTCTGCTAGAGGGAGCTGTGCCCTGCCAAGTTCCCCCCCTCTGCTCCGCAGAGAGCCGGGGATGGCGGCTGCTCGTGGCACGGGCAGGTAAGGCTCAGCAGGCTCCGGCAGAGCCCGGGGCACGCGCCGGGTGATGGACACCCATACCCGGGCGGCTGTCCGACTTAGCAATCCAGCAACGCCGCGCAGACACGCCAGAGCGACACGGCGCAACTGGGGCACAGTTAATAGGCACATCCATCAATGTACCCACCATGGAGACAGAGGGGTGAGGGGAGCTCCGGCAGCCGCCCTTCAACCGGGGCTGCTGAATGCCTGCGCATCCCGAGTCCACCCACAAGCGAGGTCGGGCCGGCACACCGCTGCTGCGCACCTACAGACACTACCTCTTTCCTGGGCTAACGCCGCCCCCCTGCCCTGCCATACCCACTCCCCCCACCCAGCTTCCCAGGGAGTCAGCCCGACCGAGGGGAGAGCGCAGCCCCAGGCAAAGGGCACGGGGGACCCACGGGTTGCCGGTCTGGGGGTGCCGCTGGGAGAGTCACTGGCAAGAACCTGGTGAGGAAGGCAGGCACTGTGGGATCGCGGAGGAGAGCCCCATGGGACACGACAAGGTTATGTTTTCATCACCGCGAGGAAGCGAGGGCAGTGACTGCCGCCCCCCAGCACCGGGGCTTCACAGAGCCCCCAGAACTGGGGACACTCACTTTGACAGACCACACAAATTTCCTTGGACCAGGTGGGATTAGAGGTGTTGAAGAGCAAGAGAGCAGCTCGGGAGATGGCGGGGTCCTTCCCTGTGCCAGGGAGAGCTCAGAGCCATGCAGAGAGCCACGGGGGACACTGGGGTGCCTCGGTGGGAGCCCAGAGCGGCTGTCGCTGCGATGCTGCCTGCAGCCTGGCCGTCCCACTCATGGGGCCGGGAAGTAATGAGGGGGGACCTGGACAAGGGGACAGCCTGGGGCAGTGAACTCGGGGAAGCACTGGAGAGCTGGAGCCGGGGCTGAGGGGGGTCTGGTGGAGGTGGCCGCAGGCTGTGCTGGCTCAGGAAGAAACTTTCTCCTGAGAAGCAGGACAGTGGCATCAGTGTTTCTTGCAGGTGCCTCTGCAGTGGCTGCCTGGGGACGCTGCTCCTTTGTGGCTGCTTGTATTAAAGGGCGGGTGAAAGGGGGCGAGGAACCTGCCCGCCCCGCAGGGCAGCCAGCGCTGCTGATGGGTGCCGAGGAGGCAGCGGGCAGGAGGGCTCTGTGCAGGGAGAAGGAGGCAGGGAGAGGGGGAAGCATCATCGCTGCGAGGGAGAGCTGCAGGCAAGGGAGGGCTGAGAATGACAAAGGCAGCCAAGCACTCACCCGCAGTCTGTGTGCCCCGGACCTCTCGCTCAGCTCCCAGCCCGGTGTGCCTGGCCCAGCCGGGACTGTCCTGCCGCGTGTCTGATCACTGCTGGCGCCTTCTGCCCCCTG